GGAATTTCAGCCTTACTCCAATGTCGTCCGAAATGCTTTGCACAGACCTTATCTTTGACCTTGCATTTTAATCTCCTCACTCTCTTGAGGATGATAATTTATGTGTCTTCAACCACCCGTTTTCCAAAAAGTGTCGGCCTTTACTTCAGTACTTAATTAGTGAGTGTTCATTAACAAAGGACATCTATACGCAGGGTTTGCTCTTTTTTTGTTCAATGACACATTCTGTAAGTTCGTTCTGATGTTAATCATATCCATCAGCCTCTTCCTGCTTACAACACTTCGGACCTTCGAACGGTGCATCAAAATTTCCTTTTGATATATGCACGACTTCAATGTGGTAGTTTACCCCTGCCTACCTTCCCGTCAAAAGACTAAGCAGTCAAGGTAGTTAGCCTAGTATTCAGCTAACGCGAATGAGTATATATCCCTTGGACCCCTAAAACCATGTCGTTCACTCTTTATCACGTGTCTTGTTTTTCTGACCCTTTGATGTCAAAGGCAAACAGTGTATTAAAGAAATGTGTAATAAAAAAATAAGTAGGAAAAAGGACAGGAGCTCACCGAATAGCCTAGCTGAGCTGGTGTGTTAGCTATGCCAATCTCATAGTAACCAGCATTACCTTCACAAGCAATCACGAGCGTACGGTGCCTGAAGAGGCTGCTATCGAAAAATGTAACGCTTACTTCTAACTTAAAAAAGTAAAAAGCTAACCTTTCTTCGGGATTACCAACCTCCCCTCGGATAAACATCGTGTCAATCAAATCTCCTTCAGTGCTTCTAAGCCAAGCTCTTTGACCGTTCTAAATCAGAACAAGAAGAAGATTTTCAAAAACTGCTTTTTAAAAGCAGTAAGACTCTATTCTAACAGAGTGTGGTACTCACCTTTGCGGATACCATAAGATTTCTTGCCGACAGCAAACTACCACTGAGCAGCCAATTCAAAAGTGACACTGACCCTGGATAAAGCATATGTCGCCCAAAAGCATGGACAGCGTACCACGCTGCACAAAACAACAAGGGGCTACCTAATAGAAAATAAGTTTTATTTGTATTTTAAGCATTTCTGATAATAGGACGTGTTTGCTTACCCTCCGCAGAAACAGCGCGGTGATACCACAAATTTTCATTTTTTATGGCATGAAAATCCGCATGCACACCCTCAAGGTCGAAATCGTATTTCTTTAATAACTGAAAATATGCAACATATGTTAAAATGAGCATTTTAAAAGATGTCTGAAACTTAATGAGGAAAACAGAGAGCATAATAATTCAAGTAGTTACAAAATGGGTTTCACAACAAATAACAAACCTCAAAAAGAAGAGTAAGCCGACTTTAAAACAGTACTAAAGAGCTTTTTCTTTGCAGAATATTATTTTTAAAAATAGAGAACCGAAGAGGAAAACATTCTTGGGAAAAACATTTGGCAAGGACTAAAAGCAAACCTGATTGTCTTCCGATTTTCCGGATGTTCGTGCTTTCATCCAAATATTAAGGAAATGTCGGTATTCACTATCCATAGTCCGACCTACCAGCCTGAGAATTGATATA